GTACTCACGTGATGCCTATATATATATATATATATAGAGAGAGAGAGAGAGAGAGAGAGAGAGAGCGAGAGAGAGAGAAGGAAACAAGTGTGTGAGTATATCCCTGAAATGCTGCATGGTTTAAAGTCAGGAAAGGTGTAGTCTTTCTACATACCTGCTGAAGAGATGAAGAATGTGGTTTAGGATTGGATGAAGACTCATCAATAACTTGTGTTATGCAGATGATACAGCCTTACTTGCAGAAAATGTGGAAACCGTGAAGCACTTACCAGAGAAAATCAAAGGCTACAGACTTCAATATGGATTGTATCGCAACATCAAGAAAACAACAATCCGCAGTCTTAGACCAGCAGCCCAATAGGCAGCATTGTGACAGATGGAACAGGGACTGAAGTTGTGAAGGATGTTGTTTCCACAGTCAACACCCGTGAAAGCAGCAGTCATATAATCAAAAGGTATGTTGCATTGGACAAACCTGCTGTCCAGGACTCTCCAAACTTCAAAAGAGGAATGATGTCATTTTAAAGACTAAAGTGCTCAAAATATTATACTATAGGAAAAGATGGTACTGAGTATTAAGAAAGAGACTTTAGAAGGACTACCTAGTGCAAAAGTGTAGAGGGGACAGAGGTATCTGAGATGTTGGACTATGCAGATGAAGAAGAATAAGGCATCAGGATTGGAGGAAATACTATTAACATGTGATGTGTAGATGACGCAGCCCCGCTTGTGGAAAGCAAAGAGGCCTTGAAGCAATTACCGATACATAATGATCACAGACAACAGCTTTCATTATGGACTGTATCTCAACCTAAAAGACTGATCTCAACTGGACAGATAAAGCTAAACACAGAAGGGACTGGGGTTGTCAAGGATTTGACTTTGCTTGGCTCCCCAAGCAGCATTCTTGAAAACAGCAACCAGGAAACCATTCTTGTTGTTCTTAGAGTCTGTTGTTCGTGGTATCTCTGAGGCAGAACCAGTTACACTGTCATTGAAGAGTGAAGCTGAACTGAGACATTTCCAAACCCAAGAGAATCTACTGTCGGCACAGCCTCCTAGTGCCAAGGGAACTTAACCCAAAGGTTTAAAATACAGGAAAGATTTGGTTTAAAAACATTTTAAATGGCATTTCTGTGTCTCATTCTCTTTCCTCTTTAATACCAAGGATATACAGAATTTACTATTATTATAAACATGTCTTAAAGGCTGTTTGAATTTGACCTTGTGTTTAATAATATTTTTAAAAAGAATTTTTGTAAGAAAAAAAAACACCCTTCATTTTCTGTTGAACATAAATGAACCAAAAGATTAATAGTGATTGTTTTCTGAATTGTAGGCTGTCTTAAATTAGAGTATTTCTTCATCATGTTTTAGTTTCATATCAGTCTTTTTCTTGTGGTGGCCCAGGAGTATTCTATAAACTTTCATTATGAGACTCTTATCTGAGATGGTATTGCCAAATGTTTGTTCCCAGTCAGTAGGATACTTTTCACCTTATTAGAAAAAGTTTTTGATGTGCACAGGCATGTAATCTTTAGACAGTCCCATTCATCAATTTTATCCACTTCAGATTGTGCCATTTATTTGAAGAGGCAAGAGACCCCAAAGAAGAAAAACACTTTTGAGAAACAAAAATGAAGTGGAAGACATAGCACTCCCTGTCCTCAAAACTTACTACACAGCGGTAGTAACC